AGAAGAATGATGATATTATCATATGCCGTCCAGACAAAGGTGGGGGTGTCGTAGTTATGAATCGCCAAGATTATAATGATAAAATCTCAGCGATCCTTTCTGACCAAACGAAATTCGCCAAACCCGACGGTGAAAAGAACAAGACACATTTAATTGAAAATCAACTGACTGATGTCTTAAAGAATATGAGGAATAAGTCAGCAATATCGTCAGAAATATACGAACGCATCAGACCAGTAGGCTCCATTATACCACGTTTGTATGGACTACCAAAAATACATAAGACAGGATTACCCCTCCGTCCAATCCTCGATATGGCGGGCTCTCCTTATCACGGAATCGCCCAATGGCTAGCCGAAATATTGGAACCAGTCAGAAGGCAAGTATCTAAGTTTTCCATTGATGATACGTTTAAATTTATTGATAGTATTAAAGATTTTAATGTCTCAGAAAAAGTCCTGTTCTCATTAGATGTCACGTCGCTATTTACCAATGTTCCTCTCATGGAAACTGTTAGCTATTTATGTGAGTATATTGATACACATGGTTTGGAAATAGGTTTACCGACAATCCACCTCAAAGAACTTTTATTGAGATGCACGTTGAATGTTCAGTTCACCTTCAACAATGAGATCTATAGACAGAGAGATGGCATTGCCATGGGATCACCACTGGGTCCTTTGTTAGCTGATTGTTTTATGGCAAAGCTGGAAAATTCTCAACTTAGTCAAACCATCGGGCATTTTGACATTTATAAAAGATACGTAGACGACACTTTCGTCATCTGCGATAAGAACGTAGTTCTTGATGATGTCTTGTTCGCCTTCAACAACTGCCATCCTTCTTTACAATTCACCATAGAAAAGGAATCGGAACTAAGTATTCCGTTTCTTGATGTGTGCCTTAGCAGACGGAATGACGGATCTCTCAAGAGATCGATCCACCGGAAACGTACATGGAACGGACAACTAACTAATTTTTACAGTTGGGTGCCTATTTCCAGGAAAAGGAATTTAATCCATTCACTCTGCTTTAGGATAAGGAAAATTTGTAGTTCTGATTGCGTCGACTCAGAACTTGACTTCCTGAAAGCCACACTCGCAGAAAACGGTTACCCTAACCGATTTATTGACAGAAACATGAAAGAGAAGCAGTCTAAACTGGTCACTGACTCAGTTCCAAAGAAAACCCTATTCGTGAACTTGGAATTCAAAGGAGATCAAGCTTCTGATATGCTCAAAAATCGTCTTTCTAAATCAGTTAGTAAAACGTTCCCTGCAGCTAGATTACATATGACGTTCACGAGCCGCAAACTGTTCTCTACCTCTGTAAAAGATAAGCTCCCCCGTCTGACCGCCTCCATGTGCATCTACCAGTTCACCTGCTCTTGTGGAGCAAGGTACATTGGCCGTAGTCAGAGAATGCTCTCCACACGGATACGAGAACATATTCCAGCTTGGTTTTACAAAGGAGAAAGGAAATGTGTGCGAAGCTCTATCTTAGAACACCTCATCGACTCCTGTCACTCGGTCAACCCTGACCATGATTTCAAGGTCATATACAGAATTCATGCCAACTTCCCGCGTTTTCTTCGTTACAGACTTCTAAAGACAGCTGAGGCCTTGGCAATTCATGACTTTAAGCCAGACCTTTGTGTACAAAAGAAGTATGTACAATCCCTACTGCTGCCTTGGCCGTAGAGGGATAGACATTTATTTATTTTTTTATTCTATGTACTTTTCCCTTATTACTTCGATTATTATTATTATTATTATCATTATTTTTACGACTCTCATTCTGAATCTTTTCCACTTGATCTACTTGACATTTTAAACCAAAAATTATTCATGTGTATACTTTTTATCTTTATTTTTACAATATTAAATTCTATGTTATCAAATTTCACACCATGTTACGTAACATTTTACATTCGTCTATTAATCTTACAATTATATGCCTCTCCCCAAAATCTATACACCTGATGTATTATCTTATATATGACATTAATTATTGTTCCACTTGACTTAAACTATGAACCTAATCACAAATATTTTAAATTTATTTCATACTATTATTATTTCATGTATTTACACCTTTGACCTAATTCCCTCACCGGATATAATTTCTTTATAAAACCATATATATACGATTGTACAGCTTGATAATAAATTCGTTGAAAAGAGTCTCTTCGCTGAAAATTGTGTTCTTAATATATGAAAGACTATTCTATAACAAAAATGTCAAGTGTTGTCTAAAAAATTATGAAAATTAGGAGTACGATTACGATAAGAATGAAGATGTGAAGTGAAGTGGAAAGAATTCAAGTGGTAAAATAAAATAAAAGCTAGAAAGAAAATTATTATGACCAAGGTAAAGAAAGGGGTTTGACAAAACGCTTTTGAACACATAATTTAGGTTTCTGTTCATGTATAGCTAAAGCTTCGGCTATGCATAAGTGCAGAAAACGTAAACTTTTGGATCGATTGGATTTTGCCATGTATATAACTTTGAAGGATGAATCACGTGGGGCTAAATGACCAGACTCTAACAGGTGATCACAGATAGACGACTTTGCAGTTCTACGTTCGCCTTTCATTAACCAAACCGGATAGTGTTCAGCTACACGTTTTCGGAGATTACGCTTACAACGTCCAATATAAACAGCTCCACAAGAGCAAGTAAAAGAGTAAATGCACATAGATGTGGACAAAAGCGGTAATCTATCCTTGACGCATTGTCTAATCATATTTCGGCTGGTAAAAACTAGATGCAAGTCAGCTGCAGGAAAAGTACGTTTAATACATTTAGATAAACGATTTTTAATCAATTCTGAAATGGTGTCACCTTTGAATGCAAGACTCATAAACAGTTTTTTCTTTGGTACTGTGACTTGTCTCGGGGTGGATTCTTTCTTGATGTTACGTTCAATGAACCTTTTGGGATAACCATTATTAAGGAGATTTGATCGAAGGTTGTCTAGTTCCCTATCGATTGTCTCTGGAGAGCAGATCTTACGAATTCTGGAGCATAAGGAGTGAATAAGATTTCTCTTTCTCCCTAAAGGTACCCAACTGTTGAAGTTAGTGTACTGCCCAGTGAATGTTGGCTTTCGGTAAATCGACCTAAGAAGCGTTCCATTATCTCTTCTATCTAGCTTAACATCAAGAAAGTGAAACGAAGAAACCGACTCTTCTTCGATCGTGAAAAGCAAAGATGGGTGAGAACCATTAAATATTCTAAGAAGTTCAGCAGTTGAAGTGTTTTCATCACATACAATGAAGGTATCATCAACATATCTTTTATACATACGTAGAACTGCAAAGTCGTCTATCTGTGATCACCTGTTAGAGTCTGGTCATTTAGCCCCACGTGATTCATCCTTCAAAGTTATATACATGGCAAAATCCAATCGATCCAAAAGTTTACGTTTTCTTCACTTATGCATAGCCGAAGCTTTAGCTATACATGAACAGAAACCTAAATTATGTGTTCAAAAGCGTTTTGTCAAACCCCTTTCTTTACCTTGGTCATAATAATTTTCTTTCTAGCTTTTATTTTATTTTACCACTTGAATTCTTTCCACTTCACTTCACATCTTCATTCTTATCGTAATCGTACTCCTAATTTTCATAATTTTTTAGACAACACTTGACATTTTTGTTATAGAATAATCTTTCATATGTTTGTAATTTATCCACTTCAACTCTACCCCTTATAACTTTTATCACATATATACGTACATTGACTGATCAATTATTTAGTGCCATTTTTGTTATAATACAATCTTTAATATTTTTGTAATTTATCCACTTCAACTCTACCCCTTATAACTTTTATCACATATACGTACATTGACTGAGCAATTATTTAGTGCCACTTAATAACCTTTTTCTGTAATATAAATACGACTGTACAGCTTGAAAATGAAGTCGTTGAAAAGAAATTTCTTCGCTGAACAAAAACTGTGTTTTTACTTATGAATTAATGGGTATTTTTCGAGTTTTACTATTCATTGGGCAGTGAAGGAAATGGTTCGACTTCCATAGCATAAGACCTATCCACCACAACCGATGAAACTTAACAGCTCAATCGATTAATCTGCATACATACCTCAACTAACGCTCTATTTTATTTATACAAGCAATGAAACCTAATCATTTAAGTATCTAAATAACTAACATGTTTAGTGGATAGTGACTAGAAGTGGTATCCATAGGGCACACATTTCGTCCTATTTGGGGCTCGTCATCTGGATGCATCTGCATCCACCAGTGAGTGAGTGTGTGAGTGAAAGTGTTCCCACTGAGGCTCTCGGACCCAGTGCCAAGAGTTTCAAACGCCAAAGCGTTATCCACTAGGGCTACGAGAAATAGCCATCCCAAACATGATGAGATGCTCATCCTGGATACCAGTGCTGGTCACCATTCACCAAATTACTTTATGTTTAATCCTCAGAAATTATCGAAGCATCTGTACAGGAAGCCGACATGTTAACAGAGTCTGGGCACTTCTGTCCAATCAATCATTAGGGAAATCCATGCCATCATGAGCTGACATCAGTTAGAGAACCACTGGAAAATAACCTGGGAGTACTGGACAGCTGTTTCGTCAGTCTAGTTTGTGACTCTTCATCAGTACGCACCCACCGGGGTTCGAACCCAGGACCTTCTGGTTACAAGGTGAGCTCGTAGGCCATTGAGCCACTGGGACCCCATCCAATGGTCCTTGAACTCTAATCTCTGCGTACTGATGAAGAGTCCCAAACTAGGACGAAACAGCTGTCCAGTACTCCCAGGTTTTCCAGTGGTTCTCTAACTGATGTCAGCTCATGGTGAAATCCTCCATGCGGTCAAACAAAAATCCCTACAAAACCAATACCTGAAAATAACTAATGTATTAACCTAGTTTTAAAATTTACTTTTCCCGAAATAAATTTATATCAACTTTTATTTGTCTTATCATTCGTTTTTGTTTTTTTGTTTTTTTTTGGTAAATTTTAGTTATGCAACACGTGTTAAGTTAGTTCAAAATAAACCTCAAAGAATCTCCTCCATCAGTAGAGGTATAAAGGCTACTAGAAGTTCAATCAATCTACAACCACCACCAACAGGATCTATTAAACGTAAAATAACCAATAAATAAAACATTAACGCGGTCAATTTCTTTATGTTAGACTCCTTACTACTTTTTCTGTTTATTGATTTATTTAAACGGAAAGATTTGATTTAGCTTGCTTTTATTTCTCAGTAATCGTTCTATTCAACGACAGATGACATTTTATTCAGCTTTGATGAATACATTGTGTTGTGTGAAGGAAGAATTAGTGTTTTCATATTTGTAATGTAAAAGTTAAAGTTTTGCAAGCCAACAGTGTAATCTATCTCTGTCTGTTTTCGACATAAAACTTCGCACTGATCTTGCAGAAGTTCAAGTTGCCACACTGCCTTCTCCATGTAGCACACAAAGCAAGAGAAGAAAGTAAAAAGGAATGCATAACAGAGATAGTAAACAGATGTTTAAGACAAAGGAATAGCAATAACGAAGAACAACATAGTTTAAAGCATTTGTGTGGATCATTTCTTGGTGCCTATAAAATTCCACGTTTTTTACTATAAGCTATAGTTTCCAGTGGTATATATTTCACAGGAATTGATGTGACTTATGAAAAAAAATGAAAAAATTACCTGTCTTCGATCATAGGTGCCTGTGCTCTATCTCCCGTGTTAGATGGTGGTATAATAAGGTGAGCAATATTGAGGTAATGCATCAGTTGAGTGCTAGGTAAGGAGGGGAAATCAATCGACGAGGTTGTGAAATTTAATCAACTGAGATGGTTAGGACATGTGTTACGCACGCCCAGCCTAGTCACCGCCTTCCTCAACCTACAGGGAATGTTAGCTGACATAGGGTCAGGCTGGAAAAGAGCTAGCGGTGGTCAAACCAAAACATGACATCAGTCAATGAAATCCACAACAGTTAGTTTAAGCCATATAGGAAGATGTAGACTTCCTGACTGGTTGGGGTCCTCGGGACGGTAAAAACCAATAGCTAGAAATATGGCTCAAAATCGTTCTCAATGGCTAGTGCACATGCATCCACTCCTTATGACTTATGATTTCCAATGAAACTATATTGTTCTTCATTATTACTATTCCTTTGTCTCAAACCTCTGTTTACCGTCTCTATTATGCATTTCTTCTACTTTCTTCTCTTGCTTTGTGTGCTACAAGGAGGGAGTGTGGCGACTTGAACTGCCGCACATCGGTGCAAAGTTCTATGTCAAAGACAGACAGACAGACAGTGAATTATTGATAAAGTAGCTTAACTATCCTTAAGCAGAATATAAGATTCAAATCTGTACGAAGTATCAATGTTTGAACGCAGCTAGATGGTAAGAGAAGAACAAGGACAAGGACGAGGACGAGGACGAGGAGGGCAGACTCCCTACCTTTATGCAATAGTAGATGTGGCTTGTTAATAAACACACATTCGCAAGCAGTACATCTGACACAGTTACAACCGCCATCTATGATTACAGTCGCAAAAACAACATTGTATTATACTGTCACAACACAAAAAAGGTTGCAAATAAAACAAAAACAGATGAAACAGGATTTTCAAAAAAGAAGAAACATCTAGAGAATATATTACATAACAATCTGTACTTCAAATAAAAACTGTTAAGTGTAATTTTATTTAGATAGATAAATAGAAGAGATAAATAGAAATGAACGCACACACACACGCACACACACAGATAGAATAAAACTATCGTGACAGTCTACTCTGTAGGGATTGTAAATCAGGGAAACGAATCTCTTTAAACTTTTGATGAAGATTTAAATCACGCATTGCTGAAACAGCTCGAGCTGGTGCACCAGATAAACCAGACTAATTTTATAACAAACGAACAAAAGAAAAGAAGAAAGCAAAAAAAAACCGATAAAACAATATTCAGTGTTTAAAATGCAACAGTACTCATTCTTTAGTATACATCAAATAAATCTGTGCGTGGGTGGCAGCACAGAGGTAGAATGCTCGCCAATCACGCTCACGTGGTTCAGAGTTCGAGCCCCGGTGGCCAATGGATGCACTCCTTCCTTTACCTCGCTAAGCCAGTGATAAGACTGGTAAATAGGAAAGGTTGGGCTCCGTTTCTCTTTTCCTTCTTCTTCTTCTAACATGACTTACCTCTTTCAGACGAAATCAACTGCGTCAAATATATGCAGATGACCTGAGTGTTTCGCTTCGCGTTAAGTCTCAGTCAGACTGTTTCAAATTAATAAATAGCTTCCTGTCGGACAACAGTCAGGCATAAACGAGATCTACAAACACTAGTAAGTGCTCATGAAGCCTGTAACATTGAGAAGACTAAAATTGAAACTAAGTCTAATGCAAAATACCTCGGACTAGTTCTATCTTCCCACCTTACTTGGTCATCTCATATCCTAACGATTTCTAAGAGGGTGTTTCGTCTAACCTACTACATTAAGAAACTCAGACTAACTAATAAGGTAAGTAATGTTGACGTTAGGCGTAGAGTGTTGGGCAAACAGGAAAAATCAATCGACGAGGCTATAAAGTTACATAGACTAAGATGGCTAGGTCACGTGCTGCGCATGCCTAACCAACGCCTCCCCCGACGGGCATTGCTAGCTGATATAAGTACAGGTTGGAAAAGAGTAAGTGGTGGCCAAACAAAAACATGGCCTCATCAATCCATGAAATCCTTAACAGTTAAACTGAATCAGTCAGGTAGGGAGATGCAGACTCCCGGGTTGGGGGCCTCGGGACTCTAGGAATCAATGGCTGGAGACAATAGGTGACATGGCTCAAAATCGTTGTCAATGGCCAGCGCAGATGTATTCAGTCTCTGTAATCTTTCATATTCCTTTCTACCATTACCCATTCTGTTTCACTCTTATACTTGTCAAACTCTATTAATTCTCTTCACTCATCTTCTTGTCTACCTCTGTGTGCTATTTGGAACGTGGCAACTCGAACTGCTGCACTTCGGTGCCAAGTTCTATGTTGAATCCAGACAGACAGACTAACTGGAATCACTCAACCTCTGTTTTCACAATTTGTCAACTCTAGTATCTTACTTATTCTACTTTACTGCTCCCCATTAGTCTTTCCTGGGTCACTGAAAAAAAGACTTTACCATCCTGAAAAGGCTATTGAAGGTAGTTAGTCGGAATAGTGGTGTAAAACTCAGTCAGCTCGCCATTACATTAGTAGATAAGCATCTGAATACATGCGAAAAATGGTCTATGACCATACTCTTCGATCCCCAACACCCCCTCTATTCCCAACTCTCTCGTTGTATCTTATCAGGTAGAATCAGAAATCAGTATAAAATAATATATGCTAGTACAATGAAGTGCAGGAACCCAACGATACCATATTTGGCCAGCCCGTGTTCTAAGTGACAGAGACAATGTTAAGCGCGAAACCTCTAGCTTGAAGCCGTATGTTCAAATCAATCAATTGTAGCGATTCAACATTCATGAATAAAATTTGAGTCCAACTGATAACTGTCACCTTGGAGTGGTGATCAAGACTGCATATCATGACGACCCAGCGAGTTACGCTGGCTAAAATGAATGTTCCGGCAGATCATATCAAGCTGTTCTGTCATTTTAAATGGCTATTAAACATGGCCGTTGAAGGTGGAAGACGTGAAGAGGCTAGTTATCCCTGACCACAGATGTTTGCACTCTACTTCACGTGTTAAGTGGGATACGATACGATAAGTAATATTGAGGTAGGATAAGGAGTGAAAGTCAATCTACGAGGTTATGGAGCTGTACGGACTGAAGTTACCAGGGCAAGTGTTACATATGCGGAGCCAGCGCCTTCCTCATCGAGCGATGTTAGTTGACACTGGATAACATTGGGAAAGAGCTAGCCAGCAGCAACCCCATCTTGTAAAAATAAACACCACTGCTACAAAAACTTCAAGCGGCCTGTAGCTTGAAGCCCCCCCCCGTCATTTTCCACTGGGGGAACATAAAGGAATACAAAAAAAATTCATCAAATCGGAATGGTTAAATATCGTAGTCAGAAGTCTGGTTTGTTGGTTGTTCTTTTCTATTCCACTGGAGTTCTCTGAATGGGATATACGGCTACAAGCTTAGAAGTTTTACTAGGTGTGGTGTTGTCAGCCTCAAGTCTAAATCTTCCCTCCTTCATTTCAGGTTTAAGAGTGTGACATTTGCCAAGTTACACCATCTCTGGCGTAGACGTGATATCCGACTGGCTGACTATGAACTGAAGGACATCTATCCTGCACAGTAGTTTGCTCTGTCCGCCTTTATGGCTGTAAGACATGGCTACTGAAAGTGGAAGGATATGAAAAGGTGAGCAGTCTTTGATTATAAGTGTCCTGCATCCCATCTCCCGTGTGAGGTGGTGGTATAATAAGGTAAGTGATATTGAGGCTAGACGTCGAGTTTTAGGTAAGGAGGGAAAGACAATCAATGAGGTTATGAAGCTACATCGACTGAGATGGTTAGGACAAGTATTATGCATCCTGCTTAACCATTGCTTTCCTCAATGGGCAATGTTAGCTGACATAGGATCAGGTTAGTCGTCAAACCAAAAGCTTGGAATCAGTGTATAAAATTTCTAACAGTTAGTTTCAACCTTACGTACAGAGATGCAGACTGCTGTCTGGTTGGAGTCTTCGGAATTCTAAGAACCAATGGCTTGAAACAATTGGTTGGTTACATTTTAATTGGTGGATAGTGACTAGCAGTGAAATCCAGAATGCGCATTTTGTCCTATTTATGACTCGTCGGTTGGATGTACCTGCTTCAGTCCAAGCAGTCGAGGGGAAAATCTAAAAGTGAATTGAATAATTAATATGACCCGCCGTTGCACAAGAGGTGGCTCTCGTGGCCCAAGTAGTATTGTGGATATCGCTTTGGCATTTGAAACTATAGGCACTAGGTTAGAGCCTCGGTGGTGGGAAAATCATCACTCACTGAGGAATGCAGGTACATCCAGTTACTGATGGGTCCCAAATAGGACGAAATGCGCTTTATCCTGGGTTCCATTGCTAGTCACCATCCACCAATTAACCTATAACTACATACCCAGACAACGTCGAAGCATCTGCACAGACATGTCAACCTGAGACCGAGCACTTTGGTCCAATCAATCGACGGGAAAATTGGAAATTAAATTAATCTGGTTACATGGCTCAAAATCCTGCTGACATCACTCTACCGCCCTGTGGATTAGACCTCAAGTCAAAGGCTGGTGGCGTGACTGCTTAGGAAAACAACTAGCTTCAATGCGGGAATCTGGGTAGTATCACAGAGGCCTCAAACAAACTACGATATTTGGTGTAGCTCATCTCTTGGTGCTCATAGTGTATCAAGTTTATATATATATATATATATATATATATATATATATATATATATATATATGCCTTTTAATAAACTTTAAATCACTCTAACTTACCTCTTGTTTTTCTAATTTCTGTTGTTCTTCATATCTGTGTGTAATTTCATTGATATGCGTTTCTAAAACCATTCCACCAAGTACAAGTTCATTCAGTATGTAGTGTACCTATAAGAAGAGAGAAAATAAATTGAGAGGAAAGTACTCATTTGCGTCAAAAATTAATTATAGCAAAAATATTCATTCAGATATCTATAAAACACAACATAATCGAGCAAAGAATATTCTTTTCAATAAATTCCTCTTCTAGCTCTACAATTATATACATGTTTGTATACACAGAATATTCAAGGTTGGTAGTTAATAACAATATTAGTGTTTTTTAAATAATATCGATTTGTAAAGCAAGATCAATGCAATTACAGTTCACTAAAAATACTTAAATTATAATAGTAATGAAGATATAATATTGTTATTAACTACCAACCTTGAATATTCTGTGTATATAAACATGTATATAATTGTAGAGCCAGAAGAGGAATTTATTGAAAAGAATATTCTTTGCTCGATTATGTTGTGTTTTATAAAAATTAGTTACTCCACGCCAGGCTATGAGTTACCCTCATTAGATTATTATTATTGTTCCCTCGGGTTCCTAGTGGAACATACGGCTTCAACTGCACGTCTCCACTTGCCACTTCTGTCTTGCTTCTGCTGTACTTTTTACCTACATCCATGTTAGTCCATACTGTTTCCACTCCTCTTCACACGATCTCCTCCATGTCACCCTTGCACTGACGTCCCACTCGCCGCTTCCTTTTCGGCCTGGTTCCACTCGAGCAATGGCCTGACGCGCGCGCGATGTCACCCAGCGGCCTCCTCAGCGAGTGTCCAACCCATCACTTTCTCCTGCACATTTGTTGCTTGGCGATTGGTTCTTGTTTTGTTTGTTCCCATAGTTTCTTGTTGCTGGTGATTCTTTCCGCCCCGGTCATCCGATTGATCTTCAGTATAGATCCAGCGAAGACAGTTGTTGATAAAGGTCCACAACAGGCTGTTGGAAATATTCTTTGTGACCGACCCGCCAAGTTTCTGATCCGTTGATGCTGAGTGACGAAGATTTCTAGATTGCTTTCAAGTTGATGAATGTGTTTCTCGCCTTCCCGATTCTCGCTCGATTTGACATCCTAATCCGATCCGACTTCCTGTAGTTGAGACAATGCTCCCTCCCTAGATAAGTGAATGAAGTAACCTCTTTCAAATCCCTCCCGTTGATGGTTATTGGCTCTGGATGTTACTGATGCTGTTGTTGTTGGTTGGTTGGTTGGTTATTTTTATAACCTCCGTCTTGTCTTTGTTCACCTGGAGTCCTGTCTTCGCTGGCTGCTTCTTCGAGCTCGCCTAGATTACTGGCTCGCTAGTTTTCTAGCCGGTGTCAAGCCCAGATAAAGAGGGAGGGTTAGGGCGTGGCGCTAGCAACTCCACCCCCAAAATTTAACCAAATTGCTTCAGAAACTTCAATGCATAAATATATTAAAAACACCCTCATTAAGTAGTTGGAGGCAATTATCAGGTAGTCTTAGATCTAGGCTTTCCAGCTTGTTAATGCTCGTGAGTAAGGCGTGTCCGCAGTCTTGAAGGAACGATGATGGCGAGCCACTTACCATGGCAGTCACATTGTAAACTTGACTGGCAGAAATTAAGTTTGCACCAACGCCAAAGACTAGATGCATCACATTAATTACTACTTAGTACCTAATCAAAGTGCCAGAAGAGTCAATCGTGGTCACCTCCCTGACCGCACCCACCGGGTGACTCAAGTTCGAACCCTAGAAGGGATACGACTAATTGTTGTCCGATTTGGCAGAGGGTTCTAACGTTGAATCCTCCTATATGAAGTTAGCGGCCTAGTTTTAGGAGGTTTTCAGGAGTGTTTCTATGGTTCTCATCGTTGTGAAGATGACTTGCTAGCCTGAAGAGTAGTACTGAGTGTAAGATGATGAGGGTGATGTGGATAAAGGAGAATGATGATCAGGAGGGTTTCGTATGCTTTCGTAAATGTGGGTGGTTGTTAATTCCCGGCTGCCCACACTGTGGAAGTCGATTTTTCTTGAGGTACTAGAAACAGAAAGAGAATTAGTGTTGCTTGACCGTAGAGCCCAGGGGACAACTGCTCGGGGCCAGCCGGTCACACACGACCTGTATGAACTGATTTCTTGGTTTGGTTCCGTATTAGTAATGTAGGTCGGAATGTACGATTTTTTGGGTCGACCTTTTGTAACCCCGTCTCTCCAGAGTAGAGAGACAGCATAGATGACTGGCATGCTGGTCATCTGAGGGAAACACCTCACTGCTCTTACATCCCTATTCACCAACAGCACGACTTCGCCCACACACCTCCAGTATAGTGTGAAAAAAATTCTTACACTAAGCTGGTAACTGCTTTTAATCTAATCGCTATCCTAACAACCTTCCTGGTGTGGTAGGACCTGCAGGAACATTGGTTCCAACCAGTGTAGCTTGTTGGGTTATTAAGATATGTAAGTCCGACCAACACACCAAGATAGCAGCTATCGGTCGGGTGAAAGGATACGAGTTCCTTCAGGGTTGCAGACACACCTTGCTGACTGATTTGCCATAAAGCACGATACCTAGGCCAGGCCAGACAAGGCTTCCTGCCAGTTTCCCCCAACCTTCGAAACAACAATTTAGAGTGCACCGCACCGTGGTAGCGGGCCAACTAGCACGGTATTCACATTGCAAACTTGACTGATAGAATACATTCTGCCATAACACCAAGTGCCCTAGACGCATTACATTAATTTACGATCTAGTGTCCACTTAATAGTGTAAGATGAGCTGATTATACTACCCAGTCAGTCATCTAGACTGAAATAGATGGAATGAGATTCGAACCTGGGGATCCACGCATTATTGGCTAGCACACTCCAGTGGTTACGTCATCTCTTCGCAAATGAAAGAAGAAAAACGGTTCCAAACAACAGAATGATGAAATACACTACTCACCTTATCAACATGAAATATTAAATCTAGCTCACAAACATTTTCAAAACATTTATCTAATGCTTCAACAAATACTTGAATTAAATCCAATATTCCAAGTTCACTTTCAGAGGAATCAACACAGAAGACAAAATATAATGTAGCATAATGACGATATATTAAACGATAGTCTTGACCACCGACTAATCTAAAATATGATATGTATATGTATATTATGTGATAATATTGAGGATGATTTCTTACGTGCCACCTTCTAAAAAATTGCAAACATCATCATCACGTCTAGAGACAAGATTGAAAACTTCTTTAACAATTTTCTGTTGTTCATCTTCACTCTATGGAGGGGGCAGAGATGGATAAATTATTAAGTTAACACTTATACATAATGCTCATAAAATTTGATTAATCTTGGCTTTCCATGATTATTAATGACCAGAATAGCACGAATCATTTACAAACCGACGATTGGGTGGTAGGTACTGCTGCATATACAGAAAATTGCGTCACATTCACTGAGTGCTTTTCACAATCCTAGAATAGAAAACAACAAGAAAAATGAGGTCTTGCATGTGAATTCTTGTCACACCACATTTTAACTAACTATAACGAATTAGTTTAAAATAAATTTCGGATTTTGCTAAAAATCTGAATTAAACAATATCTAATTTAATAGTTTTTAATTAAATTTGGATTTCCTCGTTGATTGGTTGGAGCAAAATGCTGGGCCTTTGTGTTGACATGGAGGCTTCTACCTACCTAGTACGGATGCTTCGACAATGTCTGAAGACTAACCTGAGGTAGTTTGGGGAATGGTGACTAATTTTTTTTATCATACTTTGACTCCACACATTATATTTTGGTACAACTATAGAATTTACAGCATGTGATATCGGTAGCCCAAATTTAGCAGGCCAACCATTGATATCAGGTGTGTGTTGGCCGAGGATCGAACCCCGGACCAAGTGCATAGTCGGCGAGTGTCTTAACTACTGCGTCACCGACACACAAAAAGCTGGAAACACCCAGCATTCCCAGCCGGTCACCTATGGAAGTACAAACCGGGCCCAACGGTGATCGAACGAGAACCGATGCTTTCAACGCTGGAATATTGGATGCGCATATTGTCCTGTGTGGGACCCGTCACCCAGATGCACCTGCATGGGGTTCTCATTATTTTTCATGTGTTTGTTCTTTTTACTACACATTTTATTTTATTATAGTCCTTTCGAATACCTTTTCTCGACCTTCGTGTGCAATGTGGAAACTATAATGGCTGCGTTTCTGTGCAAAGTTCTAAGTTGAGACTAAGTCAGTCAATGAAATTTTAGATGCGACCAGCGCGAAATATAGTGTGTCTTAGTAAATTATTCCTGCAAGCTAATCTTGGGAAAAAACGCCCCATAACTAAGATGCACCATAGTTGATCAAGGAGGACCAGTAAAAAGTGAAAGTAATGACAGATTAATTTGCCGGTATTTTCACTCACAAATCGTTATTATATACTGCATTGAATTTGGTTGCACCGCGAGAAAACAGAATATGTTCGGTGAGTATTGACCGAAACGTGTTTGTACCCTTAAGTAATCAAAATGCCTGGGAATCAGACGGATGTGAATAAAATCCATTCAAGGCTTCTCATGAGGGTCGATACTCCACATAACCAGTCCAATGGCTGCTATTTTCCGATTATGAGTCTGGCAAGGAGTGTTACGGCTCGAATCCTACCAGCAAAGAAGGAACTTAGCACTACCTTTTAAACTACATACATATTGGGTGTTTTAACACCTTAAATATGATTCGGGAAAAATGACAAGGAAATTAGTCATGGCTCGTCTGGGAAACGCCTTTTTAGTCAACGTGTAGCGTGGGTTTCGAGGGAAACTTTGCAGCCCGGCAAACCTAATGGCGAAAAAGAAATATGTTCACTCTACAGAAGACGAGAAATTTGTAGCTTTTATAGATATTAGCGAAGTATTTCATTGTGTCTTATACCAGTTTACTGAAATGTCCTGCAACCGTTGGTATTCTATACACATGTGAAAGCAGTTGTCTGTGGGAGAGACAGAATACCGATCAGTTGCAAACTTTCTTCCTAAACGAAGGAATACAGTAGTGTGTCATAAGGCAATGTACTCGACACTTTAATATTTCTAATGCATATGAACAAACTACCCGGGCTACTCAAATCTAACATAGTCCTCTACCTAAGTAATTGAAGACAGCTTCGGGAAATAAGACACAATCACACTGTAAACAGTTCTCAATGCCCCACGAATTCAGTTCGAATGATTTTTTTTTTTTGATTTACAGCTTGATTCTACACTGTATTCTTGGTACAAGTATGGAATTTTCAGCATGGATATCGGTAGCCCAAATTTTGCAGGCCGACCATAGACATCAGGTGTGCGCCGGCGTGGGCTCGAACTCCGGACCATGTGCATGGTCGGCGAGAGTCCTAACCACTGTGCCACCGACGCACTTCCTGTTAATATAGTTAAGTGTACAAGCGTGTCAGCGTATTTGGATCGAAAACCTCTCCCTTCAGTTCAAAAGTACATCGTTGCAGTCAATCATGGCTTAAAAATTACAGCACACTTGCGCAGTTACAACTCATAACTAAGAAACACTTTAGACAATACACAGAACCTTCACTATGCTTACTACTAATGTATCACCTATAGTGAAGTCATACAAGAAATAACTGAGAGTGATAATATTTTACTATGAAAATGTTGACAAATGTGAAGATGAATTTCGTAACTATAAGAAATAACTTTTCCTACTTACTGAGTAGGAGAACCAAACATCACACTGTATTACAATTAGAAAGCAAACAATCAACTAAATCAGTTTGACCTACTAGCTTCCCCCTACGTCCTTCAATAAACTTTTTTAAGAAACTTCATTGTAGTAATTTCTGGTTATCTTTAGGGAAGAACAGTAATTGTGGTCTAGTAACCGACTCATGAAACAGACTCCCAAAATAGGTGAAGCCTATGTTTTAATCAACCTATTTCGGATAAGTAGCTGATAGATACAAATACTTAATATACAAAGACTACCATAGGCTTAAAGTCTACACTTAATCACAAATCCGAATATTAAAAATATATGCAATTTTATTACATTATGACTTTAATAATACAACTTGAGTTTTACTTCCGAACAGTTTCAAAGAAAAACATTGTTGTAGACAAAGAGAAAAGTAAAATAAAAAACATGTATGGAGGAAAAAAGTCTTGCTGACCCGAAAGAATGGTGAGAATCCTGTGAGGACAATGACCTTGAAAGAACGAAGAGATCGTAAGTACCGCTACAGGGTTTCAATATCCAATATCCTGATTACGAACAAGTGTAAACCAGTGATTTCTTTGAGCTCACTTCTTGATTGTGAGGTAGAGGTTACAGATCTTCGGTGAGCTTCTGCGTAGTAAGTCCTGCCACTCGACTGCTTTAGCTCTGGTAGACTCCAAGATGAGTGGTGCGGAAATTGGTCAAGATGTGATTTGTAGTATGCAGTATGATAGGACTGTGTTGCTGCCGTAAATGTAGTTTGACCTAACTCCCGTTGGTCATTCGGTGTAGTCATAAAAGCAGAATGGTAATAATAATAGATTGTAGTTTAGATAATATGGGTTGAGATAAGTGATATAATAATGGTGATCTAAGGAAAAGATAGAGTAGTCGGTACAGTGAGAGAAAGCAGAACAGGTCGTGGGGATTTAGTTTGTACGCTTATTCATTGACAGTGTAGTTTCAAGTTTTATGAGGATAAGCCATTGAGACACAAACCTTGCATTTCTGCATAATTGTCTAGCTTCCGCTTAAAAATCTCCAGAGATGGCGCTGTAGTCACGGCCGCCGGTAAAGCGTTCCAGAGACGGCAAACACGAAGCAAAAAGAAATGTGATCGCACTCGAGTCTTTGGTCTCTGGTGTGCTATCCTTAGCGGGTTACCTCGTGGAAGCCCATAATCGCTTAATGGCAGGATGCTTTTATTTGGGTGGGCCTGGTCATTCAAGATCTGGTAGACGGTGATGAGGCCTCCTCTGTGCCTACGGTAACTAAGTGTGAGAAGACCTAATTTCTCTAATCTTTCCTCGTACGATTTGTTGCGGAGGCCGATCACCCATTTTGTCGCTCGTCTCTGGACACTTTCTAGAACGCTAGCATCCCTTTAGGGTAGCGCAGGGGCAATGATATTATGCACCTCAAGGTGTGACCTAACATGTCAATGTAGTTGAAGATTGAACGATCAATTCATGGTTGTTTGCTCAAAACCAACTTCCCCAATTTTCGCGGAGGCATCAATACGACAGCCATCGTCTCATCGGTCGCTGTTCAGAAAGAAGATTAAAACACCGTCAGAAGTAATATTATGATTTATTATTGTAATATTTGTTCACAGACCCTAGTAAAAACATTATTTTTATATGTTGGTGTAACAATAAAGAATTCTCGAGTGGCCAATCGGTCTTTTGGTTTTTTCGTCCGTTATTACTAAGCGTTTCTGGGAAACTTCAAGCGACAGCGTGGGCCCGAGCGTAGCAAGAGCTGGGCATTAACGGTTTATGAGACGTGGCTGACAGTTTCTGATGGTAGAAACAGATTCTGGCGGATTCAAACACTTGGTGAAAGTTTGGATAGTCGCCATTCATTTTTCCTGGTGCCGGTCAAGTCCTCTTTGAACAAGCAATATCTGGAACTGTTTTGGAATTGGGTCACGTTCAACAATGCCTGGGTCAAAGAAAGGACAGAGTGTCTTGGATGCAAACAGGAAAGTAAGTCATGGTGACTTGTCTGTTAATTGTAACGATGTGTCTGATGTTAAGCATGATATGGTTGATGTTACTGTTTCGCCGTTCGAGGATAATAGGAACATCAAACTCCCTAAATTTGAACCACGGTGTTTTGATGGAAACCCGGCCGATTATTTACAGTTTGTAAAGGAGTTTGAGATCATGCTGAGTAGTTTTTTATTAAGTGATGAATTGAAATTGATGTATTTGATGAGGTATTGCACTGGAGATGCTTCAAGAGCTATACAGGGCTGTAAGCTCATGCCCCCTAATGAGGGATACGCTGAGGCTATGAGCATATTACGTCAAAGGTTTGGAAGACCTTCAATGATTGTATGGAACGTATACGAAGCTGTCAAAGGTAACGGCAGTCAACTTCAAGATGACTCCAAGGCACTTACTGAGTTTTTAGATAATCTTACGACTAATAAGAATACCTTGATTTCTATGAATTGCATGTGTGACCTCAACTCGAGTTTTATACTAGAAGTAATAGCAAGACGCCTACCTGCTCGACTGCAAAGGAAGTGGGTGAAGATAAGCTCCCGTATGGAGGATGAGGGTATCGAGCCAAAGTTTGATGATATCCTGAAACTGGTAAATAATAGTGCCAATCAATCTATGAGCAAGTTTGCCAGTATATTGAATCTCACCCCTAGAATAGAGCAGTCTGAGGGAAAAACGCAATCATTGATGACGAGTAGGCCTCAGAGAGGTGGATATCGAGAAGGCTTCATGATGTCTAGTAATGCATATAGACCTAGTGAGTGTAACAGGTTTCGTAGTACATCCTCAACAGATAAGTTACAAGATGCAAGACAAACACGGTTGTGTTTTACACGTTTGCAAGAGGTGCATACAAAGGTGAAGTGTGAACCAGTGAGCAAGTTCAGTGATAAGCTAAATGTAAACTCCAGGTCTGACTCCGAATTGTGTGACGATAACGGTGCGGTTAAGAAGTCTGTAGTTGCAACTGGTAAACCATTGTTGAATAGAGTGTCACAGAATAGAGTTACTGCTTCAGAGTGGAGTTCTGACTCCAAAAGTTTACAAAGTATTACTAGTCAGAGTGAAGATATAAAACCTTTAATGATTTGTGAGGAGGAACCAAAATTGTCTACTTCTGTTATTAAAGAGTTTAAAAATGATGAACTTGACGGTAAACTGAATATTTGTGATAATGATCATGATAGTGCAGATTTGTCTTTGGTTGATCATGATGAGATGAGGGATATGCCTACTACTGATAAGTTAAATAAAGGTTCTGCACAACTACAACGTGAAGTAGAATTGAACGCAGATGAAGTTCCAGGTGTGCATACTTGTGAGACAGTCAGTGTAATTGATCAGCGTGTAGCCTACCTATCATCAGATGATAGTGCTAAACCCGAACTAGTAGTGAAAGACAGCAGTGGTGGTAATCTTGCAGTCGGACAACTATCTGAAAGCCGAAAAAGAACAGCTTCTGATCCACTGCTAAGTTCATCACCTTGTGTCACTCAGTCATCGTTGGTGTTTTTATCCACAATGAAATGGGCGTCCATGAACTCACGTGCCTTATGCAATGACTATGATAGTATTGGTGCGTTTGAAAAGACGAAAGATATTGCTCAGTTTGGTGAGAATAAGCCAAGTGTAAACGAGAGAGTAATTGTTAAATTGACTTGCATGAACCATGGCATTTCTAGTCTCAAGTTACTGATTGAATGTTATTATCTTTGGGGTAAATTACTCTGTTTCTACACTTGGTTGATGAGATATGCCGTGTGTTTGTTCGTCATCTATATTCTACGATACAATGACATAGGCGTGTTGCCGTTCAGATTTGAGGATATAGCTCATAGAAGGAAGTTAGCAAATGAACTCTGCGACGATTTTCCAACCTAGAGCGTCAACCTGAGAAGGGTTGTAGGCGTACAGCTGTAAGTCCTACAGTTCTTCAAAGGGTAGCGCATCAATGAGCAGTCCAATGTGCTCGGTGTGTGATTTTGT